AGGCGCCAGACTAGGATGCGGCCGGACATGTGCCCCGTTCGACGAGGTCACTTCCGCTTACCATAAGAAACTTCACGTAAACATCATCTCGATTAGTGTGCTAACTAGACTACAATACTAGCAAAACTAATCAGGTACGAGTTCGTTAGCATCATGACGCCAGAACTCGTAGGCACCAGGATTTGAATATTTATATTGCAAGCCTAAACAGGCTTTACGTGCCATATCCATGGTACACAAGTGAATAGGCAAAGGTATCAGAGTTTACATTTTTTTGGGGGGGGGCTGAGCATTAAAGTAGCCTTTAGCCTGGTAAGTTAATCTCACTGGGCGAGTTACCCTGAACTCCGTGGGCAGGGGCCCATGCTACCAGATCACTTCATGCCTCTTTCGCCAAACTCTGCAGCCCACAGAGAGTCTGGTCGTGTATAGAAGTCTCCTGTTTAGATCATAACCTTCCACTTTGTCATGTCCCACCCCCTTGCTAGCACTCCCATTTCACAGCATGAGATTAGATCACTATTAGCTCGACCAGAATTCTAATAACATTATACAAATTAAGCTAACAAGAATCAATCTTGTACTTGTGCAAACAATCTAATCCAAATGAAAATCACCCCAAATCCTCTCCACATCCCGCTGTGCATTGCTCCATTCCTATAACCCTTTACCAATTGACCTCACAGCGAACTGCATTGAGATTCATGAACAGGGATAGATGCAATGACGGAGACCTGAGAATAGGGTAGACAGTCACCTTGAGAACGGGGCAGTGGAACTTTGTCAAATATGTCACAATGATGCTCTGAAGGATAGGCGTAGAAGAAAGCCTCGAGTCAGGGAGGCCTTGTAAGAGGACTCTAGTGTGGCAACTTCAAAGCTGCTGTAAATCCTGAGCCATGCTCTGTTCCTGTTCAAGGCCCTAAATTGTGCATTAGAAGGAGTCGATTCAAGTAACATAATTCCGGATACCTACTCAAATGCCTAGCAAGTTTCAGTCCGGTAGATGGGACCTGGCGCACACAAGTATGCACCACTGGTGGTGCACCTTGACATCGCCGGTGGGCTCGAAACAACTTGGTCTAGTTGCCAATTAAAGCTTCGGTGATAATGCCCTCCATGGCCCCTTCCTACACCGCTTTGTCTCTACAAGAGGCCGGTGCCCGCCAGGCTACCCCGCTTTACTGGCTCACACCAGTATATTACTTCTATATACAATGTTAACGGTCTGGCCCACATATCGATAGCTCTAGACTCAACCCTTAGTGCCATAACCACTAGATAGCCTTTCACCTCCCACTATGGATGCTTTCGTGCCTGCTCATACAAGCAAACTCAAGTGCACAGCGCCCGCCCACCACAGCAATTGCATACCTCCCCCTCCTGTCCCACCCCAGCTGCCGCGATACCGCAGTGCCATCAAGGTGCTGTGGTGCGCCTAGCTGTAGTTTTGGGCCTAGCTGCGTCAATGCTGCTGTGTTGCGCCAGCTTCCTTCTGGTATCCGGATTCGGTCTTCTTCGAATTCGTCGGCGCCGTCGACCAAATCGACTGCTGAAGCTCCTTCGCCCACGTCCGAATCTACACCATCTCAGCTCCCGACACTCTCCTTTTATGAGCCCCCAAAAGTGCAATTTGGATCCTACCGGCGTAAAAACATTCGTCTCCGTCGTTGACGGCATATAAAAAATCCCATAAACCAGTACGACTAACGTAATCATCACCATCATAGCTCTTACATATCTATCTCTGTTCATAAATAAATGGGAACTCACAAATAGCTGTACTCCATTGCCCAATCCTCACCGCCTGGTGGAGCCTAGGCCTGGCGAATTTGAGCTTCATCCGTCGCCGAAAGCGGCGCTCGAGGGAAAATTTGTGTTTTGGGGTGAGCTTAGAAAAATTGGGCGGCCAGGACTTCCGAGCTTTGTATATTGACTGGTAGAGCTGGGTGGGAGTGGGAAACATCGAGGCTAGATGGTGTGGAAGCGATTGACCTGTGGGCGCAATTTGATAAATTCCCGGAGGTGATGTTCGAGTAGTCTAGTCGCGCGATACCCTACTAGCAGGTCCCTATCACGTGCTTCGCTTAAGAAATTGTCGCTATGTAACGAAAATTTCATTATGGTTGTTCTCCCAATGGGAGGAAACGAATTGGGATTCTTGTAATTCAGCGTAGGATTACTGACTTTCCGGAAACACCCCTCCACCTCCTGATATTCCCCTGCTTGAACTGTATCTAACTTTTTTCTAGCTATTTGTTATTCGCATGCATGTATGCTTTATCTCATTGCGCAGCCCCTACACTCACTTAATTCTATACTTTCCTATTTCCCCTTGTTATAGAAGAATATATTGGTTACAAGCATATTTCCTCTGGTCCAGAGGGTATGCTTGTAACGAGAGTCATCTGTATGCAGAACCAGAAAATGAACCATTACCAACCACCACATTTACCCAACTTATCAATAAATCATACCAGTTATTCGTACAGTCCTTCCTCATTACTACGCCCCAGCAGCGTCCACAGGTTCCTCACTAACGACCCTTCTCTCAGGCAGTATACAAAGCCATCATCCAGGCCCCAAGCCCAAAAGCCAAGAGCATCAATCCAACGACTCCGAGAATTATAACACGGTGATCTAGGTTTCCCCAGAAGCTCCTGTCTTCATCGTACTCTTCAGACACGTTCTCAACCTGGTTGGCCTGGCCGTATCTGTGAGACAGTACCCGTAAGATCGACTGGATTAATGAGTCCGGTGACGGCGATGTTTGGCATGGAGTTAGTGATAGTGAGAAGTATGACTTAGGCTGTGGTTCAATATAAAGCGACAAAGGCTGGGGGCGACGCCGTTGGCTTATAATGGTTCGGAGTCTGAGTTCTGGATTAATATACCACCATCACAAATCAAAAGAGGTTCTGTTTGATTTTGGGTTACCTTTTCGAGAACTTCTGCGGATGAAAATGGGGGAGCTTCTTGACTCCATTAGGATGATACGCCATCTGGCTTTCATTGTAGGTTGGAATTGGTAGTTTGCTGGTATCTACAGTATGGGAAAGGCCCGGGCTGTAGGAGGTATCCTGATCATAGTAATAGTCCCTGTCCTTGGGACTCACTCTTTCCTGTTCATATTCCACCTGTGCGTCTGTATGGTGCGTCAAAGCGCAGGAGTATGTGTCTATGGTGAGAAGTGTATGATATTGCTGATATGGGCCTTGTTTCGTGGACACCTCCAATGGTGAGAGCAAGGAAATTTGTTGCAGCGATTGGTTTCCGAAGAAAATGGGACTCATACTGACAGTAGTTCTGGAGACTAGATGAGTATCTCTAAGGGGTGTATCTTGACTAGTTTCCGACATTTTTGATTGAAATAATTCGCTGGAGTGACGCCGCCGGCTATCAATTCCAACTCAAGAAGGGCCCAAAAAAATGGAGCGGGTATACGAAAAGAATGGAAGCACGCCTCTCGCGAAACTGACACGAAAAGAGTGTGAAAAATAACAACAGTTATTGTTGAAAAAACCACCAGGGTATAGCTCACAAACGAAGGAATGTAAACAATGATGGGAAACAAAGGTGAAGAGAGAAGATAAAAGTGAAAGTCCTAATAAAAGAGAGCCTAGTCGTTGAGCTAAGCTATTATCGGTCGTCATCCCACGCAGCCGGTGATACCATCAAAACTTGCGGACTCAGATTTCAGGGACAGCCGCCCGAAACATTGAAACGAGGACCGTGCGCACCCATTCCAAGCCGTCTCTACCTACCATTCCGACCCCTAGAAGGGATCGGGGGATCGGCGGGCCGTGAGCGAAGGAAGTCCTAGAGATCTGGCATCTTAAAAATCCCTTTTAATAACGATTTTCCACGGCAACCAATGGGTTGAAGCCAAATGCAACCCCTTACGCACTACAAATTAGGTACATGTAACTCTCGAACTTCTACTTACAGGCCAATCATCTGCTTTGTGGCGGAAATGTTTGTCACAAAAGGTCTCTGATGGTCACCAACTTCTCACAACTCCAGCAGAAATTGGATCTCTTCATACAAGACGGCTGGAGATCATGGACTAATAGATGTTCTTCGTATTTACCTTGTCCATCGTATGATTACCATTTGACAAGGCCTCTTTACCCTACCATTCTTCAATCCTGGCTATCTCCAACAAAGCTAGTGATCTGACAAGGGTATCAGAGCAAACGCATTGAATTTGTACTTGCAAAAGCAATCTTTAAGAACGGAGAATTCCTTGTTCGAGTATGGTTCCGGAAGACTGTTGGCTCGCGAATCTCGCACTTGAGTAATGTATAGCACACTGGGCATCTTTAGAGGATCCCATCAATCTTTCCACTGAGCTGTCTGCCGATCGAATTGATTGTGTTTCAGATACATTTTTAGCAGCTATATTTCAGTGCCTTCAATTGGCTTCGGGTAGGAGCATACCATCAGGTACCTGCAATTGAACCAGTGACTGGTCATGATTGAATGATTCTTGGGGCCCCTTCTGATATTGTGCTCAACTAGAAGTTCTATAACCTTTTAATCTGAGTGGAATGTGCTGTGGTGATGTGGGTGAAGTATATTAGTGAAATGCTAGGTTGCTAAGTACTTAAAGAATTTCATCTTTCACAGAATAAGTGTATGTCACCATCACGAACCCCCAAATGAATTTACCCTGAAATTTTGGCCCTGCACTTCTACAACTCTTATACCGTACTTTGAGCCTCTTATCTGCTTCGCCTCAATTCAACTCTTGCAAGCGCAAATATCTTGCTTCAAAGCTTTATGGTGGAGCAAGGTACTTTATAAATTTGTCTTAACTTTGCTTCGGAACCATCTGACCCCAGGGGTTGTGGCTTACGGCACCCCGAAATCTCGAGAAAGAACTCGAGAAGGAAAGGAACGGTATGCAAACAAGGAATCAACTAAAGCCTGTAGCTGCGGCCTACTAGATGGGAAAATCAATGGAAGAAACAAAAACCCAGAAAAAAGAAATCGTCAACTGCCCAAACTCGGAATCGAACCAAGAATCTTTTCATATCGCAAATACGAGTGAAACGCCTTACCATTTGGCCATTCGGGCTCATTATTTAATTTCAATCCGATTTCAATATACAATAGAATATCACCTTACGCACTAATCGTTTCCTCAATTAGAAAGTGGCTGGAAAACAATGAGGTTTGAAAAAGGTTAAGCAAAAAAAACAATCCTTGCCCAAACTCGGAATCGAACCAAGAATCTTTTCATATCGGTAGTACGAGTGAAACGCCTTACCATTTGGCCATTCGGGCTTCGCGATTGACCGTCAAGCAAAGTAATATAATATGGACTGTTTCTAAAAATAATCATTACCAATCACTGCAAACGTCTACATGTGACATCAGTGTGCAACCTTATGATCATGTTGACCTCTCTACTCGCTCCTGGAAACTGAATTGCTTAAAAGCACGAAATGCCATCGGGGCCAAGGCCACTCGGCAAACTTGCAAAATGGCCCCCTCACCAACCATCTAACCCCCGCCAGAAGACAACGTGCAAATGCGAAACAATTATATGAATGTGATGCTGCATGTGATGCTGCATGTGTATTATGTATGTGAAGATATTAAGAACAAGGATATTAGGTTTATCAGCTATACGTGTTCAACTAGCTATATCACTTAGGCGTTCAGCAAACCCAATACTACTAATGGAGCAACGGGAAGCTATCACAACATGGAAAAAGCAATGTAAATATTAACCGTAACCCCAATATGAATTTGACTTGTACCAAAAAGAGACAGAAAACGATTATATTTCACTCTAGTATAGGAAGTCGCTCCTTGAAAGTGAGGTAACAGTCGTCCTGAGGAAAAATTAAGTTAGTTCATCTGTAGTTTTTGTAGGTTGGCAAGCGGCAGGCCCTTACCATAGGGAAAATCGTCGCAAACACCTTAATCTCTTCTGACTTTGGAGTAACGTGATGTTCCCATTCTAACATCAACGACGCCAAAGAGATCATGGCCATGAAGTTGTAAATCGCATACTAAAAGCACAGACAGTGCCACCGATCAGCTTCTCAATCGAACCACACGGTAGGTGATGTACGTAAGCACAGACACGGTGCGGTGACAATCTGACAGGTGTAAAAATGTCTTACCGTTTGTCCCAAACAATAGTGTGGTCCGGTTCCAAATACCAACCAGTTCTTAACCGCTGCCTCTGCCTCTCCGCCTTCGAGCCATCGGTCGGGGTTGAAGGTTTCTGGGTCGATGTACACTTCTGGGTCATGGAGAGCTGGGTAAAGAGTGGGCACAATCATGGAACCTATAAGGAGAGTTTAGAAGCATGCACATAGCAGAGGCAAGACCCGTTGGCTCACCTTTTGGAACAACATATCCCTCTGCGACCGGAAAATTCTTCTTGACCTCATATGGTACCATGGTGACGGGTGGGCGGTATCTCAAACATTCCTTCACTACTGCACGGGTATAAACCATCTGGTCCAACATGTCGATATCGGCCGGCTTGTATGGGTCCCCACCCCTCACATGAAGAGCTTCCTCTCGAACTCTCTCGAGGCAATCGGGTCTGTCAGCCATAATTTGAAAAAGCCAAGTGGTGGCACTAGAGGAAGCATCTTGGGAAGCGAACAAGAAGGTGAAAAGAGTTTGCGCAATTTCCCAGTTAGTGAACATGCGGATGCTGGTTGGAGCCTTTTCGCCTGGAGCAAGGATTTCTCCTCGAGCAAGCCTCTCCTCATGCGCCTTGTACTCGAACATGGCCTTGACCCAGTGATCTAACAAACAGTGAGGAACTCCACCATCGGCAATATGATCCTTAGACTTCTGGGCGCATTTGGAGAACTCGTCAAGGACCATATCCGCACATCTCTTTCCATACCAAGTCCTGGTGTAGGGGATGATAATTGGGAAGTTGACTAAATCCAAGGCAGCGGTAACTTTATAATAGTCGTTAGAAATCTCTTTAACCTTCTCATCCGAGCTGTAATTTCCAACAAACGTCCTGCATGAAATAGCACAGTTGATCTCGCGGAACTCTGGCATAAATTGGACGTTGGGTGTCTTCTTTGAGATCTGAATCCATCTTTTGAAGTACCTCTTGTGCATGTCCTCTTGCCCGGGTAGATACTCAGAGAGGGCCTTGCGGGTGAAAAGTCCGTTCAACCCCTTTCGGTAGTCAACATGCGCTTTTCCGTCCAAGAACACCCAGTTTGTAGGCCGGAGAATCTTTTTCGCAACGTCGACGACACATGGCTTAACATACATAGGCGAGTTGAGTACTTTTCGTGCAAGATCTCGGGTAGAAGCAATGACAACAAATCTATGAATAGGAAAAATTGTCAGTTGCAATAACTTAAGACAGAAGAAATGCAACTCATTAACTGACTTGTGGAAAACAGATACGCAACTCAATGGACCACTCGCCCATTTCGCTGCATATTCTTCGAACTTAGGATTGATAGACTCGAGGAAAGGGCCCATGAAGGGCAATTTGAATGCAGGCCCAACAATGTTCCCCCATTTGTTCCATTGGTACCGGGCTACAAGAACCCATATAAAGTCAGTACGTGAAATTATGATAGCTTTCCAGAGCATTATCTCACCTTGATCATAGGTGACGCAAAGAACAAGCAGGGTAACCGCAATGTTCCAACATGACACACCTCCCAACAGCTGTTCAACCATAGTCCCACCCAACACCTTGGGGGAGCTATCCCCAGGCACCGCAGATGGAGAAATTTGAGATGCCATCCGTCTCTCAAAATCGCCTCGTGCTCTTTTAGTATTTCAATCCACCAGCTGGAGGATCAAACTGCAGAGAATTGTCGGTACGCTGGCGTGTTTGAGCGAGAAATAGGGAAAGATAACCTTTATAAGCTGCCGAATAACGTTGCCGGGGGAAACAGGGACACAAATTTACCCTCCCCTGAGCGCGGAATTCGACCTGGATTAGTCTGATATGGGAATTGGCTGGATTTAGGTGCCTTTGTGATAAAACAACACTTGAGGGAGCCAGTGGTGGACCCTGGTGGAAATAGGGTCTGCAGCCGGTACTACTTCAAACTAGGTACTTGCCTTTTCGTATAGCTAAAAGAGAGGCAGTGCGAAACAAAATTAAAAAAGCGCGCCGCAGATTATATGTAGAGCTACTTTGTAGACGAGGTGTATAAAGAGAGCCCCGATACTCAGGGCTGTGAGATACTGCGGGAAATAACGTTGCGAAAATGGAAGGCGGCAATTTGCATTACAGGGCCTCAGGCACCGATGACCGCTGCATGGCAACATACACATTACATTACTTCCTGACTTCTCTCAACTTTTAATGAAACCATCACCCGCCAACTGCTCAACACATCTCTCTTCGGGCTTCCCCCACTGCCGAAGCTATTCCGGAAATGGAGGGCACTAAAACAATTGTCGAGTAATCTGGCGGGCACCGCACTAATTGTCGACCCTCACAACCCCCGCTTGACAGTCCCCTCGTTTCCGGATTTCCTGCAGAGACGAGGCTAGACCGTTCCTAGCCCTCCCCCCCCCCCGCCTCAAGGAAACAAAATCTTACGGACCAAAGTCGCTTGAATTTCAAGCTTCACTTTTATCATAATGAGCCATCCTATTAGCAACTTTTCCAAGCTCATCTGGTTGTAACTCGTGAATATTCAATCCACCACAACTCTCTAAATACACCCGCCAGATTAGACCACAACACATTTACTTAAGACCAACTTGCGCTAACGCCTCCAGCCACTTAGATCATTGCCATTGCTCGGTTCTAGTGTTATCCGTGGGTACTGTCTCGTGGCCGAGCGAAGAAAACATCTGGCGCCTTACGGAGGTGCACGTCAAAAGTCTTTTCCTTCCTTCATGCGAGACTTGGCGCCAAGTCACACCTAAAGCATAGGCTTGGCGCCCAGCCCACATACATTGCAAAATCGGAAGGAGGAAAAGACTTTTGGCGTACGGAGTACTGGTACATAGTCTGGTTGGCACAGCATCCGTAGCTGGTACAGTACATAAGTTACGCCTAATTATGGAATACTTCAATCGATATCTCACGTGAGCATTTATTTTACATTTTTGCATCCCACGTACTTTATACATTAAATGCTCAAGCCTTTGATTGAAGAGGGCCATAGTTGAATTCCAACATAATGTATATTTTAGGTATATCAAACTGGTAAGTTAAGAAGAGAAAATAAATAACAATGACATCTCTGCTAAAGTAAATCGTAAAAACGCTGAAAAAGACGAAGAGACAGACTTAACGTTATTTATAGACTGGCAAGCGTAGAATCCAGAGTCTGTCTGTCATATTTGATGTATTTATCCCTCATAATATCCTTATACTTGTCATGAAATCTTCCGTATAGGGGCCCAATGAAACTGATCTCCTTGGTCAACATCATCCTGACATCTTTCTCCGGAAAGTTGTATTGCTTATGGCGCTGCACAAGCTCATCGAAATTTGTATTGAAATTCTGGAGGCACGTAAGCACAAGTGTTAGTCAGTAAGGTATGAAGGTAACCCTCACCTTAAACTTTTCTTTGACCACCTCTTTATCTTTCGTGCTCAGGCTCATCTTGCTTCCCGCCTTGATGTACGTCACATCCATTAAGTATGCTGCACACTCCTTCCACCCTTCCAGATACATTTCGACAAACCTCTTCCTGAGAGATTCAATCTTCTTTGCACCATTAGTAACGTTCCCGGCCAAGTTCATAACACTCCAGAGCTCGCTCTTTCGGACAACATTTTCGATATATGCAATGTTGTTGATCATGAACACGGCTACGGTGGCATTTTTCTTGATTAGCACCCTAGCCCGCCCATCCAGTTGCGATATAAGTGTTTCTATGACGTCGGTTAAGTAATTTGAGAGAAGCTGATTTCCGTCGGCTGAGACGTCAAACAACATTGGCGCTAAATTGGAAGGCAACGATGCCGAATCTGGACGATTCCAATTTTTGTCACCCAGAGCTATGAGTAAACTTGTCACAGTGATTTTGTAGTCAGTGAGCCGGCGCATGCGAGACATTACCTATCACAAATGCTTGTTAGTGGTGTCAGAACTTATATTC